AAGAATCCAAAAAAACAAGAATAAAAAAGTTTTCAGTCTCTTTATTATTTTTTTAACTTTCTATTTCTTCTTTTTCAAGTGTGTTTCCTTTTTTCTGATTTTTCTAAAAAATTTTGCCTACTTCAATTTAATCCTGAATTTTTAATTACACTAGATCTTCTAAAAAATAATTATTAAGATCACAAATTAATTGATCATATCAGTTATAAAAAAGTAAACAAGATATATACTCCTTATATGTTTCTAATCACTTAATACCAAACTGATAATGTGATTAGTTTCTGAATGAGTTGAACAGTTTTTATCTAAAAGAGTAATATAGGAGTATTAAGTGAAGCAAAAGTTGTAAGTAAAAAAAGAACAACCCTTTCCTTTTTGTTTTCCTTTTTTTTTTTTCTTGAAAACAGGAAGTAACAATTAGATTTAAATTCTATTTCAATTTAATAACAAGTTGAAGTAACAATATTTATTCTAAAAATAATTAGAAAAAGGAATCCTAAAACTATTTACTAATTGAGTAAAACAATAATTTCAGAAAAATATGGCTTGGAAGAAAAATTAATAACAGAAAACCAATATCCTTTTTGGTTAGAAGTCTTTAAGTATAAAGTTTCAAGAAATACTTTTTTGAAAGTGCTCTTAAACATTCTTGAATATTGATTACTTTAATGAAAATTAAACAATCTGGCTATTCATAGATAGTAAAAAGAGAAAAATTATGAAAAACTTAAATTTTAAGTTTATTGAGATAAATTTTTTAATAATAATTAAAATAAATAATAGTTTTTTCTACTTTTTTTTAATCACTTTTTATATACACAATTGTGTTGTTTTTTTTTCTTTATTTCTTTTTTTTTATTTCTTTTTCTCTTATATAGTTTTTACAAAAGGAAAGTAATACAATTTGGATTTATAGTTGTGACTGTAGAGATAATCTGCAGGTTTTGATCCTATTAAAATACTGGGATATTGATTTTTTCCAATAAGAGAACAATATTTCACCTTCATAAATTATATCTAGAAACTTTGGCTATTGATAAGTAAGCTAGGTTAAGGAAATTTATACTTTGTAGACATTTTCATACTTGTAATAGTTTTATTTTGATTAAATAAATAAATAACACTAGCTTAATTGTGAGATTAAAAAAAAATAAAAATAAAAAAATAAATAAAAATAAAAATAAAAATAAAAATATTTAATAAATTTTTTATTATTAATAAATTTTTTTTTAATTTTATAATTTTTTTTTTGTTAAGGTAAAACATATCTCATAATCTTTATTAATATTGTAATTATTATTATTACATAGTTAATTCTAAGATATGAGATATATGGACAAAATTGAACTAAGTACATATTAATCTATCATCTATTGTAGAAAATATATTTCTGAATAAAAAACCCTTGAGCAGAGAAAAATAAGAAAGGAACTATCTATAAATATTAATATATAAAAAGGAGGCAAGATCATCTTAAGTAAAAGAATATATCAATGTAGTGATTTGGAAAGTAAATGTTTAGATATGAAGTTATTATATATATTAAATTTAAATCAGGATTACTTTCTCCTCGAGATCATATATAGTTGTGTGTGTTTTGAATGGGAAAATTGTGTAGAGATGATGTATATTAGGATTTGAAGTTATATTATCTTTGAATCAACAATTCCTCCTGCAAAACACAAATCAAATGTGTCTATTTAGGTTATCACTTTCTTTTCGATAGCTGGATGCAACTTCAGCAACAGTAGAGAAACATTGGCTTAAGCTGTCAGATTATGGAGTGCAACTTCCTGATATTTTACTTCCACTCACAATAAAAGTACTTTACTATTCATGGGATGCAACTCTATTGTTAAGATAATATAAATTAGTTATATGATTGATAAATGAGTGTTGTGATTGGAATATATGTAAGTTGAGTAATTAAAGCCCACTTCAATTGATTGTTGTATTGTTTAGATACATATTAAATAAAGATTACTGGAACCTGTGCAGAACACAAGTCATGTGCTCTTCCAATCCAATAGGTTATCAGTTAATTGTTTGTTATTATTATTATTGTTGTTGTTATTGTTGTTATTGTTATTAAGTGTGAAAATTTTTGTTAAAAAAACTGGTTATAAACAAGTTTGAACAGGTTTGATGTTGTTGTTAAGAAGTGAAAATATTTTATTGATTATTTGTTAAATGTAAATCTTTGAATAGTATGAAACTGATTGTAGTTTTTTGAGTAAGTTTGAAAAATTTGTGGGATAGTGAAGAAATGGTGCATGATAATTTTTTTAGATAGAGAAGAGAAATAATAAATTTTCAAAGGTTGTATTAAGACAAACATTAGATCCAGTAACTTTGTTTGAATGTATTATTAAAATTGAATTTGTATTATAAAGAGAGCAAGATAAAGGGGAAAGTGATTATTATGGGTATAAAGAAGAAGGTACCTAAAGACAAAAATTATGAAGGAAGATTGTCACAAACCTTTTTCTATGCAACCAAGAGCTAAGAAAGACTCCTAACTTGCTTAGGTCTTGATCAGATATACCATCCCAATGCAATAATGTTTCTTAAAATCTTTATATCCTTTGGGTTTAAAGTTTATTTGCCTTAAGAAATAAAGAAAGAAAGATGTTTCTTGAAAAAAGATTTTTTAAAAAGAAAAATTTCAAAAAATCAGTAGTAAATAGATAAGGTAGTTTTTTTTTATATTTAATTTTATAATTTTAAATTCAAATTTTTTAAAAAGCTTAATAATAAAATAATTCAAAATTTATATATAGAAAAATCAATAAATTCTAGTTTTTTTTTTTTTTAAGATAAATATATTTTATATATAGTTTTTATTAATTGTTAAGATTATATATTTTTATATATAAATAGTCTACTAGCTATGCTAATATTAATCCATATATTCAATTATATATATCCAAATATATCAACTTATATTTTATAAATAGATTTATATACTGGTAAGAATTCAAGAATATAAAAATCATACTATCAGTTTTAAACTTATTAAAAGAGTTTTTTTAAAAACTTTAAAATTAATAATAAAACTTTATTATTATTATTAAAATCATAAAATTATTTTATCAAAGTTTTACTTAAATTAAATAAATATTTATTGAATTATAATAAAAAATATTAGTCCAAAAACATTTATACTATATTATATATATTTTTAATTATATATTTTTATTATATTTATTTATATTAGAAAAACATATATTTAAAAAAGAGTTTTTTTTGAAAAATAATATAATTGTTAAGTTCTCTTTTATTAATTGTAAACAAATATTTTATTTATAACTTTTTTAATATAAAAATATAATATGTAGTATTATTTATATATTAACAAGTACTAATTTAAATTATAAATTTAAAAACTAATTTAAGAATTATAACTATAATATTTTGTGTATCTTGATAGTTTATAACATATTAATATTGAAAAGACTAATTTAATATATATTAAATATATTAAAATAGTAGTATTAATTTACAAATTTATTTTGTAAAAATATTTGATGTAACTCAAATATTACATATACTGTATATTAATAAAAGTTTTATATCTCATATTTTTTTATAATAAAAAAAAGTATAATAATAATATTATTATTTATTATAATTAAAAATATTATATTATAGATAAGAGTTATAAAAAAAAATAAAAAAAAATAATTTAATATAAAGTAACTTTTGATTTAATTTTTTAAATACTGTATTATTATTGTTTTATAATTTATTGGTTAATATCTTTTAATTATATAGAAATGTGACTCAATGTAATTCTTATAAAATCTCAAATTAAATTTTAACAATGTTTTTAACTTTTTATCTAAAACACTTGTGTAAGAATAAAAAGAATTATTTCTAATCTTATAACTATTTTACTAATAAAAATCATACTTTTAAAAAAATATATAATATAAAATTACTACTAATTAGAAAAACTTTTTTTATTATACAGTATATGTTTTTGAAAAAAATTTTTTTATATTAAAAAAATTTTAAAAGAATATAAAATAAATAAAAATATATTTGTAATATAGACATATATTTATATATTTTAATAGATTTATCAAGTATATAAATTACAATTTGTCAAATATTATTATAACCAAAATTTGTTTTTTTAAAAAAAAATATATAATTTGTTAAATACAATAGATTACATTTTTATAAATTGCAATTTTTTTTTAATTTTGTCAAACTATAGTGTCAGATAATTTTATAAAAAATTTATAACAATTAATCACTTATTGTACTTTTAATTAGTTGACAAAAAGCTAATTATCAATTATTTTTATATTTAATTTTTTATGTAAATAAAGTAAAATTTGCTGCCAAATATTATTTCATTTTCACAAATTTTTTAAATATCAAATGATATAAATTTATTAATAATTTAAATGTAATTTGATAATCAAATAACATAATTGAACTAAGTAATAATAATTAGAATGTTTAAAGTTATTTTTTTATCACTGTTGCATTTGCTTTTCAACATATTTTTTCTTTCGAAAATATACTGTATATGATACGTATTGAATAATAAAATAAAATCAACAACTATTTTTTAGAAAAAATCTTTTTAACATTTTGTTTGTTATTGTGATTTGAAAAGAATCAATATATTTATTATTGTTAAATATATAATCAATATGTTCTTTTTATTTACATTGTATTATATATATGCTTAGATATATAATAATACATTTATCTATGTCATTTTTTATTAAAATTTGTAAAGAGAAAATCCGTTTATCATTATCCTCTTTTCTTTCTTTTCAAACTATGTTTGGTTTCCGGCGGGGCAATAAACGAATCGTCAATACTCTTTTCGTTAATCATCCTTACATCATTAATATTGGCCTTATTTCTTTTTCTCTTTCTTTTATATTCTTTTTTAATATTCACATTATCCATAGAATCAACTTTGCTTCTCACATTATTCTCACATTGTACCGATTTTCGTACAAAGCAAGCAACAAAAAACCCATTCGTATGATCTTCATTCGGAATTGAACGTACAAGCTTCTCTGCTGCCTCTGCATTATCAGTAATAAGAAAATAAGAAAGTTATAAATAATATATTATGCAGATAAAAGAATTTCACAAACCAAACCTTCATCATCACCCATTTCACTTGTGATACCACGCCTTGACCACGAGGGCATTACATCCTTTCTATCGGCCAACTCAAAAACGCTAGTTTGCTCAAGCACACGCCTAACCACGTGTTCATTTTCTTGTGCATAAATTGAACATGTAGAGTACACAATTTTTTTGACGGTAGGAACTAGGTAATTATTGACAGAAATAGATTTTTTGTAAATAATAAATTGAATAAATAAGCTTAGCGTAGATATGAACAAAGGTTCTTACATTTAAAAGCATGCAGAATCATCCTTTCTTGAAATTCACTTAGATTTTTAAGACGTTCCACTAGAGGTTTCTGCGTGGAATCAAGTTGATCTTGTGTATTTTCTGTAAAGAAATAGTCATCGAATGACAATGATCAATTTCCATATCTTAAGATTTAAAAGTAAATGGTATTATAATTACCGGCCAGTCGACTCACCATACCGGATCCGGAACAAGAGGGGTCAAGTAATATGCATTCGACGTTAGAGTATTTTGAATCTAGAGGGTTTTCTTCGAGAAATGATCCGTGAACAGCTACTATATCTAAAAATTTCAGAAATTTCAGAAAATTTTCCTTTTCAAAAACTTCGAAGATAATATGCCTTACTCTCGCATCCCGCCTTTCGAGTCAACTTTTTTAACAACTCCAGTCGTTTCTTGTCAATATCGAAAGCCCATATTTTTCCAGAATTTTGCATTATCGACGAAAGGTGTGAGGTTTTGTTTCCAGGGGCAGCGCATGCATCGATCACGTGGGAGTCAATAAGTGGAGAGCAAATAAATGAGGGAAAACACGATGCCTTGTCCTATCAATTTGATATCATCGACTATTAATAAAGATCTTTTCGGGAGCTCTTCATAAAAAGTACCTGGAGGATTATATCACCGGATAAATAAAGTGGGTCATTATGGAGATCGGTGTTGGGAGGTAATATTAGAAGTTCAGGTAAATGCTTGTCTTTAATAATGGTCTGTGGACTTATCAAACCGACAGGATAAATGCACTATTTCAGAGATCGTCTTCAGGATGTTTAAAAATCGAACATACCTTATATCACCCAAGTCATCGTTCGATTCTTCGAGTTTGTACTTTTTTGCCTTAAAATGTTCCACTACTTTCTCAACAGTGGTTTTTAGTGTGTTAACTCGAATGTACCTTGGAACCGTAGTTTCTATTTGCAGAAGTATGAATTGATGAACACGGCAATTCATTGAACCTTTAATAAACCTCAGTTACCTAAACAATGATACATACCTGAATTTCTTAATTCCGGATTTATCAAATCTTCATTGTTTTTTACTTTCAATTTAACTTTCAATTTCACCAGTTCACATTTTAATCTTATTTCGTGCTTTAAAATCGATTTTTTATAAGGACCATCGGATAAGGATTTTAGTCCATTGGGTGAAAATAGCAGATCATGTACCAACAATGTTGCAATGTTTCTTGGAAGCTGAGAGTGTGACATGGATAATTAAATGTAAGTTCGATAATTATTAAGTGCACAAGGAAGTTGATGTTGAAAGAGATAAGCAAAGAACCTTTTTCTCCACCACAAGCAATTGAGAATTATCTATTATTTTATCGATCACACCCTTGTCTTATTAAAAAAAAAACATTAAAAATTCGATCTTTAAAAAAGGAAGTTTCAAGTTTATTATAATCAACTTACATTTTAGCGTGTTACATATCAACGCATACATTTTTTTCTTTTCTTTGACATCATCGGCCAATGTGAGGCTTTTGATGCTGCTCTTACGGTTCTGCAATTTTTCCAAAATATCTGAGGCTTGTTTGTAGAAATTCATTTTCGAATACGTTTACAAATTTAATCTATTCAATGTATTTATACTGGTTTAAATTTCGAGTGTAACGTCATTATAACATCCCATTGGTTGAACTATTCTACGAGTCAAGAGACTATGATTACTTTTAGTTGTTTCTTTGGCGATGCAAAGGGACTAAACGAATTCGTCATAAAACCAGAAGTCCGTAATGTGCAAAGCCCGATATAATTACGATTAATTCAGATCAACCGACGATAAATCAAGATCCAATTTTATACTCTGTACAACAAAAAGTCGAGTTTGGGGTGTTGTAGAAAAAGGGGCTTGTGATCCATAATTAAAGATGAAGGAGGCTTGACGTTTATTTGATCTAAAGTAAAAAAAGTTATATCACCAATGGAATTTCCAATTCGGCACATCCGACTTACCTCGCTTATGATAAACATCGTATAGGAAGTCGTCAATCTCAAATGATTCAACCGAAAAACGTAAGCCACATTTAATCAGATTTCGCCCGTCACCTGTCATTTAATTTTGAACCCACCCACGGAATGAAAACATGTACCAGGCGCGATACGGGTCAATTACGGGAGCAGGCTTATAAAAAAAAGCCTTGTTTCTCTTGACATCTATGTAATTTCTTGTTTCTCTGTCATATATATCTTAAAAGAATTTGATCAAACGAAAAACATCACTCAATGATCCGATAACTTTAAAATTCCAATTAAAGCTGTCAAAGAAATCTTTTCCTGGAAAATATCCACTCGTATAACACATAGGTGAATAACATTTTCGACATTTGTTCCCCTTTTCACGTTCGTATAATTGATTTCGTACAAATAAGGAACATGTCTATCCGAAAATGGTCATCATCAATATTTATTTTTGAGCACCATCCAAGAGAACTCCGTGAATTTCCTGGTTTTATACATGATTTGTGCAAACCCATCATTCTCGTGAATGAAGTGGATCTGACTAAAATCCTTCAAAAAATTTGGTCCAATCTGTATCATAGAA